ATCCTGAGGATTTTTAGAAAAATACATTTTGTGGATGGATGGATGGATGGATGGATGGATGGATGGATGGATGGATGGATGGATGGATGGATGGATGGATGGAAGGATGGATGGATGGAAGGATACAAACAAAAAAACAAAAAAATAAGAAACATTTTGAGGGAAATTAAAACATTGGAGCTAAAAGCTTTTTGTTTATATGAAGGTGGAACCATCTTGGTTTGGGTTCTGTTATTAAATTTTTTTGACAAGATTTTTAAAGGATACAAGTTACTTCAAAGGACAATATCTGTGTGTTTTTCATGAACTACAGTTCAAAAGAAAGTCAGTCATGAAGCAAAAACCTCAACATTAATGAAACAAACTGTTGAAGTATTTTTTCATGTATCTGAGGTCAGCAGTTCATTAAGGTCAGGGCTGATTAGTGATTTTTGAATAAATCAACTTTTATTTTCCCTCAATCAAAGAAAAGTTCTCCTTTGTTTAATTCTTTACAGCCTGTGTTAAAAGTTTGTTAATGTAAAACTCTTGTTTCTGCAGAAATATAGAAGTTTAATAATAGTGAAAATGGCATCTACAACACCAGTGAAATTCCTGAAGTCGAGCTCACCTCTGACTGAAAGCTTCCGGGTCGGAGGCTTCGGYGGATGCTGGAGTGACGTCTGATTAAGATCTCTCTGGGCTGGGTGTCGTTGGGCAGAGCGTACTTTGTTGTGTATGCCATAGTCTAAAAACAAAATGCAAAAAAAAAATACAAAACACTATAAAAGCTAATCAAAAGATGATACCTTTCTTTACAGTTTTAGAACAGTTTCCTGAAGTAATCATCAGTTTTACAACTGTGTTTGCTTCACCAGCTGATCTGCTGGAGATAACCGAGACCAACTGCTGGACTGCTTTGGGAGGAGACATTCTTTGAAGCTCAGATTACTCAACCAAAACTGGCCAAACCTGTCTGAAAAGTTTCTTATTTTTATACTTTAAAAGCTGCCATTTGCACAGTTTTCCTGAAAGACATCAAAGCATCAAAACAAACAACTTAAGGCCATTTGTCTTGAAAACCGAAAAAGTACAATTAAACAAATGGGAGGAAGCTGGAGCCAATGTATGTGACCGAACTGTAAGAAATGGCCTAAAGGAAATGGGATTTCAATACAGG